CTTGCCTTGAGAATTATCACACATTTTCAAATACAACACTCCCAAACAGCACTTTATTTTGAACACATATTTAACTTGCATGTTTTAAGACCACATGCCATAATTTCAACCGAGCTTATGACTAGGTGGGCTAAAATACCTTTCATTACAAACATCATTTATTTGCAACCTGGCCATTTGTGATTTCCATTGAAGGACACTAGTTAAGTGTGCAAGAAATTTGTTTCATGATTTCCTATTTCCTCATTCTTACCTGGCTGTGTTCAGCTGTGGTCTGATTTCCTCTCACCTATAACCGTTTTTTTTTTTTTTTTCTTGGACATAAAATGTTTGTTCCATCCAGCTGGTGTGGCTTAGTGGTTGAGTGTTGACCCATGCACCAGGAGGTCACCAGTTTGATTCCCGGTCAGGACACATGACCAGGTTGTGGGCCAAATCCCCAGTGGGGAACATGCAGGAGGTGGCCAATCGATGTTCTCTCTAATCGATGTTTTTATCTCTCTCTCCCTCCCCCTTTTTCTCTCTCTCAAATCAATATGGAAAAAAAATGTATGTTCCTCACTCTTTACAAAGATAAGACTGTAGAACCACGGTTTCCTTGGTTCTTCTTCAACATCTCTGCCATCTGAATCACTAAAAATAGCAACACTCTCTCTGAAGCTGCAGTAAGTCACCCCTGAAGAATCCTCAGAAGCACCTGCCAGAGAAGTCAGCAGATGCACGCTTATCTAGAACCAGCTGGCCATTCGGTGCAAGAAGAGCTAAGCCTTGAAAGAAAAGTCTGAGGTGCCAGTTAATTTCCACAGGCATTTTCACATATGGCAAACATACTGTATATTTCACTTTCTAGATTTTTTTAAAGATACCTTTTATCAACACAATTGAAAAGTTAGCTTCTATGCAAGCATTCCTAGATGGTTTTATTTTGAATAGGAGTTCACATATTCTGGGATCTGACCCATATGGGAATAAAATCATGAATATAAGGTATGATTTTGCTACTAGTGTTATCTTGTATACTACTCAATTTTATTTTGTTTTCATTTTCTTTCTTGGCAGGTAGTATTATTGGCTAGGTGCAACAAAATAAAAAGGAATGTTTACCCACCACCATCAAAAACAAAAAACATGAATACAAGCATTCAACTTGTTATAATCTTCTCACTACACTAGACCACTAAAACTATTATGCAGTTAATTTTATAAAGATCTCATAACAAATATTAAACTTCATATTTTTCTAAGGATTAAGAAGTCTTATTAGACCTATAAAAACAAAACCAAATGAGTTTATCCTTCTTTATCCTACTAGTTCAAATAATTGATAATTTCTTACTTTTCTAAAACAACGTGTTAAATAGATCAGGCTGTTTAATTAAGTTCTATGAGGGCTTGAGTCATGTCTTATTTTCTAAACGCATAATATTCCATCTGTAGCTGGGCACATAGCAATCACGTAAGAAATATTTTTGCACAGTTATTTGGTCCTGACTTAGACAACTATCCGAGTATCTTCTTTCATCATAAGGTAAAGATCAAGTTTATGACACACATCGTGTAGCATCCTAACAGCACACCCAACACAGAAAAGCAATCTTCATTATTTCCTAGGAAGGTGAGACAAGCCAGTAATTACAAACAAGGCTATTAAACAAGTTTGTGTGCAAAGGCACCTGCCTATGGGACTGCAGAGCAGGCTGCTGACCCAGGCTTTGCCTGCAGGTGCACAGAGTGCCTGGTATGCTTCAGTAAGGCATTTGTGTGTGTATGCATGTACTGAATACAGTGAAAAACAGACTTGCAGTTGTGTGTTGAGTGCCTTAATGCCTGCTGATACAAACTTCAAACACCACTAATTTTTCTAGGCTTGAGCTACCAAGCACCATTCAATTTAATACAAGTTGTTTTCCATTTCCTCTTTCAATGAGATTTGCTTTGAACAATCCAAAAACAAAATGTGGAGGTGTCCTTTAATCTTAAGACTACATGGTTTATGTTGGGTTTGATGAGGCTCTAACAGTTGGCAAAGAAATTTCTCTAAATCTTTCTACCTCTCTCTTTTAATACTTTGGTTTACTCTCACTTTCAGTGTGTGTGTGTTTATATTCACCATATCTATAAGTAAATATATAAATACATATACGTATTTAATGTCTATTTCATCCATGTACATACATATGCATATACATACATACATATAATGGTATGAGATCATGAAGGGAAGAAAGAAACATGAACAGTAGAGCTGGAAGAGGAAGAAGAGCCAGTCATGAGGACTGAGGGAGAAAACAAAGAATGGATGAGAGCAACTGATCGCAAGGGACACACTCAGTGAGTTTTGCCATGAAGGTGAGCAAAGAAACCAGGCAGAAGCTAAATGGGAACAAGTATCATTATAAACAAAAATATGACTACAGTTGCCATAATAGTTATACAGATATGGTTATAGGTAAAAATACAGATTCTCCCTTAGAGTCACCACACCTGGAATTCTGTTTCTCATTTCTGATTTTCCTGTGGTTGGCTCCTTTTTATTATCCAAGGTCCTACTTGATCACAATATTGTTCCCACTACCATTAGCCTCTTTTCTCATCCTCTGTTGATTTTAATCCATAACAATGATCAATTCCTGAAAGTATAAAGTGTGTTTATTCATTTATTTATTGTCTGCTTCTCCCATTGGAAGGTAAACTCCAAGAGGGAAAACATTTTAGTCATTTTTATACTTGTCAAGTAGAACTGTGAACATCACATGGCATGTCTAGTGACTACCTTGTCAATTAACACGTAAATATATGGCTGTGTGGCAGTGTATATATGCACACACATACATGCTTCCAGCGCAAAATCTGATGAATGTTACGTATATGTTAGAAAAATAAAATCATATAAAATGTTCTTGCCTGTTCAGGTCATGTTGCAGAAAGGCAAATAGCACCATAGTAATCTATAATTTTTATTTTAAAATCAAGTGTTTATAAAGGTAAACTTTTTTATAGCCATGCTTGTACTTTTATTTCAGCTGTGTGTCTAATACCCTTTGCAGTTTAGGTCCTATCTAGATTCTAAAAAACAAATGTATTATATAGTATTATACATTCTTATTATTGCTATTGTTATCATTAAATGTTTTTATTTTGAAGATAATTGTTTTTATTTTGAAGATAATTGTTTTTATTTCAAAGAACAATGAAAATACTCAAAGCATAGCCTAACATGATGAATCGCCAAAAAATAATCAATGGGAAACAGGACTTTAAATAACAGGTGACATTAGTAAGTTAAACTTCATAGAAACTTAATAGAAGCATATTTGTTTCTTGCTAAATTTTCAAATATTCATGCTGGTACCTAACATGCTCAGAGGGAAAACCAATCCATTTAGAACTTCATGAACAGGAAAAAACATCCAAGTATGTGTGAGTAAAAAATATACACCCATCTGTTTTAAAAGATGTGGAGAGACTACATGGAGACCCCTGGGCCGGCAAAACTGGCTGGGACATTTCTCTGGGCTGTAAAAGCTTACAGTTCAGTGAGAAAAACAGAACATTTCAGTAAAATATGTGATGAGAAAAGAGAGTAATTATCCTGTTATAGTTGTTCAGGAAAGCCCTGCAGGGGAAATGATGTCTGATCTAAATCTTGAAGAATATGTGAGAGATTAAAAGCACATCATACAAAGTTTATATTGTAAGCATGTGAGCTATGAGGAGAACATACAGGAAAAATGATATTAAAGGATATGTAACAGTACACATATAGATTATGGTGTCAATCTGTCCTCACATATAGAAAATCCAGTTAGGCTTGTAGCAGAGCGTAAAAGCTGATCTCAGGACTAGATACTGGTGTCACCACTTCTTAAATACTTTTTTTTTTATTTCTTTTATATATACTCAGAGAAACCATAGGCAGGATTGACTAGAAGGTAGTTATTTTTGAAATTATGTACAGTATAGAGTAACCAAACGTTACTGAAAATGAAAAACTAGTAAGAAGCATCCCTTTTACAATTTGCAAAATTAACTATTGATCCATTCTAAAAACAGGACTTATATAGAGAATCTGCCTCAACATCTATGTGTAGTCTTATTACAATCAAGGCCAAATATCTTATGTATACAACATGCATCAGTTCTGTGATATTCTCACTATAAATTTCTTCATTTAAGATGTTTAATAGTTCAAAGACAGAATTCCTAAGCAACTGTCCAAATAATTTTCATAGTCATAAAAAATGTTTGAACGTTTTATTTTTTCATGATAACATAGCAAATCAGACAAGTATGGCCTAGCCAAATGATAATACCATAAAACACCCACCATTTCTCAATGAATTTTAAAAGATCCTTTAGGAATAAATTGCTAGAAATAGTTATTCTCCAAAGTGTTGAATTCTAACACACAGAAAATTGCTAACGTTTTATAAAATGGAGAAATGATAAAGTTCAGATGTGAAATAAATTATTTTAAACATCAAAGCTGGTGTATTTCTTAGTTTATTGTTCTTTTGGGGTCAGATGAGTTGTTTAATATTATTGAAACATTTCAAAAATAAAGTGGAAATCTTAGATTTGGCAGATAAGTATTTAAAATTGCTTCAGGTAAAAAGATCAAAGTGAAACAGAGCATAGAGTTAAAATGGGTGTGATTAGGAGATGGTGGAAGAAAGAAAAGGGATCCAATCAGGAAATTAAAGAAAATAGATATACAGAAATGTCATACAGAGGATACTCAAAAAGTGAGAACATTTTATTGCAACCCACACTAAGGATTAAAGAGAATAAAAATATGGAATTACATGTGCTGAAAATAAAGGCTGACAACTGATTTTTATGAAAACATAGGAGATATCAGAAAGTGAAAGAGAGTGGTACCATGAGGGGAAACTCATAGGACATGATGAGAGAACAACTGAGATGTGCTTGTAAATGTGGCCATCAGTGGTACAGGTACCCTCCTGGATGTGTTAAATATCTAATTCAAAGTTCAGTACCTTTGCTTTGTCTCTCATTGATCCTTTGCCCAGGATAGACATTTTAGCACCCGTTTCTTCCTGTAGCCTCTTCAAGGAGTTTCCTCTTGGTCCAAGCAATTTCCCCACAAAATTGAACTAGGAAACAAAATCAATAAAATGTTGGTTTTAAGGCAGGGAAGAAGAATAATTTGCACCAAGAATAACTGATGGGTTATGGGTTTTCAAACTTTGTCATTGAGAACAGAGTTATGGCACACACACACACACATACACACACACCCCACACATTGCACACACACAACTACTTCAGACCTCTAATCTGGAATTTATTTTAAAAGAGATGCCCTTTCCTAAATGAATGCCAATATTAATAATATATGAAACTTATTTACTATATCAAATAAATAAATCACTTATTTAAGAAAGTAGGAGAAACACTATAATTCAAAATGTTTCTAAAGACACTTTTTTACTAATCTGATTTAAAATAAATGATTTTAACATATCTATGAACTTCCATAATTCCAAAAGTTGATATTTAAAATTGATTTGTAAAAGAAAATTTAATATTTATGTTAAGTATTGTATATATTCATAATATTCTGTTGCAAATAACATTATGTTAAAGAGTTGTTTTTAGGATCAGTAAATAAAGAATTTAGATACATAAAAAAAAGTTTAAAACACCAATCAGAAAGAATTTATGTACCCCTATGTTCATAGTAGCGCTATTTACAATAGCTAAGATCTGGAAACAGCTCAAGTATCCATCAGTAAATGAGTGGATTAAAAAAAGCTGTGGTACATATACACAATGGAATACTATGCAGCTGTACAAAAGAAGGCCCTCTTACCCTTTGAAACAGCATGGAGGGACCTGGAGAGTATTATGCTAAGGGAAATAAGCCAATCAGAGAAAGACAAGTATCACATGACCTCACTTATATGTGTAATCTAATGAACAAAATAAACTGATGAAAAAAATAGATCCAGAGTCAGAGAAGAAGGGAACAGATTGTTGAAACTTAGAGGGAAGGGGATTGGGAGGGGGGGGCAAAGAATTTACATGCATATATGCATAACCAATAGACACAGCCAATAGTGTGATGAAGGCAGGGGGTGAGCGGGACTAGGGAAGAGGAAGCCAATGGGGTGAAAAAGGAGAACATATGTAATAATACTTTCAATAACAAAGATAACTTAAAAAATAAATAAATAAACATAAAGCTTCACTATGCCCCAGCAATTCTATAGCTAAGTATTTAACCAAGAGGAATAAAAGCATGTGTTACAAAATAACATTTTATTTATAATCACCTTTAAATTAACAACTGATGCTCATGCAAGGAGAGTAGAAAAACAAGTTTATTCATAAACAGAAAGGAATTAGTCACCAATTGACACAAGAGTATGAATGTATCTCACAGACATTATGTTCAGTGAAAGAGCCAAATATAAAAATGTAGTTCAGGTCAGATTCCATTAATGCAAAATTCTAGAGGCAAAAGTAATACACAGCATTAGAATTCCTAAGAGTGACTGCCTCTTGAGAACTGAAGCTGAGATTGAACTGGCTGGAAAGTGGCATAAAGGAAATGTGTGCAGTGATGGAAATGTCCTGTGTTTTGTTGAAGGTATAGCATATTTTTGTCAAAAATTTATCAAGCCCCACACTTAACACCTATGCAGTTCTCTGTATGTAAACAACACCACAATTAAGAATGGAGAAAAATAAATTAGAAAGTTGAAAACTCACATGAATAGTTTTAATATATATCATAGTGAAATGTCCTACAATAAAGGACTAGCCCCAAGAAGTTGTACAAAGGAATCTCATTAGACCTTTAGGAAGTATATCATTCCAATCTATGTAGACTACTCCAGAGAAAGCAATAGGGAAATTGCCCTTAATTCACTTCAGTAGACCAGTGTAACCTTGACAAATCAGACTGACAAGCCTCAGAGGAGGGGAAGTTTAGTGGGGAAGAGATAAACCACAGAACTTACATGCATATATGCATGACCAATAAACATAGACAACAAAGCTGGGGATGGGGAGGGGGGAAGGGGAGGGGGGTGTCAATGGGGGAAAAATGAGAAACATCTGTAACAAAAACAAATAAATAAATTTTAAAAAATTGGAAAAGAGAATTTATAAACCAAGTCTACTCCTGAAAGAAAACCCATTCAACAAAATAGTAGCATAATCAAGGCATGTTGTATCTACAAAAAAATACATGATGTTTCAGTTGTCTTTATCATAGGCACGCAGGTAGTTTAAGATTTCATAAACCCCAATTGTAATTTGCTTATTAACAAATTAATGGGGAAAAGGTTAACATTTTATTTAAACAGAAACATAATTGTATGACATTCAAATTCAATTATAAAAACTAACATCATTTGAAAAATGAAAAAAAAAAACTTCCTTAACCCAATAGAAGGTTTCTACTGAACACTGGTAAAAGTAGTACACTGAATTAGTAAAATAATATCAGAAACAAAGTAAAGATGCATATTCTTGGTAGTCTATTCAACACTGATAGTTCAAACCACTGAATAAGGTAAATGCTATATAGTGTTAGTAAGTAAAAACAAATACCATTTATAGTTTATATAATTATGTACATTAAAAGCTTTAAGTAATTTCAGAACAATTATTATAATTAGTAAATAGTTGCCCTGGCTGGTTTGGCACAGTGGTTAGAGCATAGGCTCATGGACCAAAGTGTTGTGGGTTTGATTCCAGGTCAAAGGCATATACATAGGTTGCAGGTTCAATGCCTGGCCCGTCAGGTCACACAGGAGGCAGCCAATAGATGTGTCTCTCACACTGATGTTTCTCTCTCTAGCGCGCGCTCCCCCACCACCTTCTACTCTATCTAAAAAAAATTGCCCTGGCCGGTTTGACTCAGCGGTTAGAGCGTTGGCCTGCAGACTGGAGAGTCCTGGATTTGGTTCCTGCTAAGGGCACGTACCTCGGTTGCAGTTTATCCCTAGCCTCAGTTGGGGTTGTGTGGGTAGCAACCACTCCATGTGTCTCTCATGTTGATGTTTCTCTCTTTCTTCCCCCTTCTCTTCCTCCCGCTGTATTTGAAGATAAATGCAAAAATGTCCTCCAATGAGGAGGAAAAAAGAAAAAAAAATTTTAAAAATTAGTGGAAAAATATTCTCAGGTAAAGATTAAACAAAATATAATAATAATAATTAGTAAATAATTTAGCAAGGTGTTTTATTAAAAATAGTGTATTTTTGTATACCAAAACACATCATTAGAAGAAAAATTTTAAAAGATATTATCTCAGACAGCAGTAAAAAATAAAAATATACTTCCTAAGAATAAATTTACCTATGTATGTTCACACCCTTTTTGGAGAATGTTTAAAATACATTAATAAAATCATCAAGTGAATATAAATAAATTGAGAGATAAATAAATTGAGGTTATGTTCATGAATTGGAAGTCTCACTGTTATGTAGATTTCTAGTATTCTCAATTACATGTACAGATTCGATGCAATTCTAATTACAATCACAACAGAATATAAATCAATTTACCAACTGGTTCTAAAATGTATATGAAAAGGCGAAAGTCTTAGAATAGCCAAAACATTTAGAAGCTGCAGAATAAGTGGAGGGCTATTCCTGTCACATACAAGGGTTAATTATAAAGCTGTGTCAATTATGATGGTGTGATAAGGGTAGTCCTAGGACACACATAGAAAACAGAACAATGGAATCAAGAATGCAGAAACAGACTCCTGATGATGTTAAAACAATATATGATACAGACAACATTACTGATCACTGAAGCATACTAATGGCCCCTTAACAATATCCAAGTCCTAATACCCAGGATCTGTACATGTGTTAGCCTGCAAAAGGGACCCTGCAAATAGGAATTCTGAGAGGAAGAGATTATCCTGGGTGGCCCAGGTGCGCTCAATCCCCATATAAATGAAAGAAAGAGGCAGCAGAGTCAGAGGGTTCAATGACACAACTGCTAGTTTGGAAGGGGGCCCTGAGCCAAAGAATAAGGGCAGCTTCTAGAAGCTAAGAAAGTCAAGGAACAGATTCTCCCCTGCAGCCTCCAGAAGAAATTCAGCTTTACCAACACTGTAAGTTTAGCCCATAATAACCATCTCAGACTTCTGAACTCTATAACTGTAAAATAATAAATGTGCTGCATTTTAAACCACCAAGACTGTGGTGATTGTTACAGCAACAATAGGAAACTGTGAATATGCTAAGAAAAAAATGAACTACCTAGTACATAGCATAACTGACTATCCATAGTAAGAAAAATAAAATTATTTCCTCAACTATAATGAAAAATATAGAGATGAATTATAGACTTAGGTCTGAAAGGAAAAATTTTATAATTTCAAAACATATAGGGAAATAATGCCTGAGAGTTTTTAAACAAGACTTAAAAATATTTCAACTGTAAAATAAAAGTTTGATTAAAATAAAGAATATTTGTTCATTAAAATATACTATAAAGTAGGTGAAAATATAAGTCACACATTGGAGACTATTTCCATAATCTAACTAACATAGCATTAGTTTTCGAACATAAGTAAAAAAAGTAAGGAAAAAACAATTTAAATATATAGATAAAATTATAAATATATAATTTAAGAAAGAACAGAATGGCAAAAGAAATAAGTATGAATGCTTCAATCTCAATAGAATTTAAACAAAAATCAAATTAAGGCCACCGTGAGATATCATTTTACACATACTATGATATCAGAAATGAAGTCAGAAACTTAACATTGGCCAGAATGTGAAGCCATGTGACTCATATACTCTGACAACCATGTTGGCATTGTCTTCTAAAGTTGTAAATGCATTAAACCTATGTAAATGCAGGAAATCTGGTATATTCTCTAAAAAAATGTTAGAACATGTTCAAGAACATTCAAAGTCTCAATGCTTGAAGAGCAAAAATAATTGGGGGAAAATGTCCATCAATTGAAGAATGGTGAGCTGTCAACTGGATACCACACAAACACTTGTTTATGTCTCAGAACCAATTTCCAGATTTTCTTCCACATATGCTTCCCTTGGTGTTGGATTTTGTCAATAACTGAAAGTTGCATGAGAATGAGAAGGTGGAAAATTGTAGTTCA